TTACTGTGCTTACCAAGAATTGGTACTTTTCTGTCAAAAACAACTTGTAAACAATTAAAAGAAGAAGGATGAATACTACTACCTTCTTGTTCTGTGATTATACAACACTAGGTTTCCTTTAACAGTTCCAATCGCTAGTAAGCTGCTGTGTTTAGCCCAAAGAGTCAGAGATAGACCTTCCCTAAAATTAAATTATTTCAATTAATGGATTAAATTTATTTTCAATTTTTTTTTCATTTTTCCACTACAATGTAGAGCATGTAGGCACTGCTGAGTGTTCCTAGTCACTCTTGAGAGTAATATTATTTTTTCTACATCAAAGTGGCATAACTTTTTACATAAGTGTAGTATAGTGCACTTGTATACACTCATGCATAGATTTAACGTAATCAAACGACCTAGTAATATATTCAAAATGACTGACCCAGGATGAACATTACTGACCCATTGAGACTTACTTCAGACCAGTTTGGAGTTTAGAGACTTCATGATTATTAGAATTCCATAAAAATAAAGTACCTACATGATTATCGAAATTTGTTGATCAGTTAAACACCAGGTTAACATGTGTTACAATTAATAGTGTCACTTTGTGATAAAATGATGAGAATACATTGGAAGTACTCAACACTACTAATCACAATATGCCCACCCAATAGCTAGTGATAATATTATGGCTGCTTGTTTCACACTTGAGATACTGCCAAAATGTAATAAATGTAAAAAATTGGGGTGACTTTGGAGCCATTTTTTCAGAAAAACCATGAACCATAGTACAGGAGTTTTTTTCGGAAATTGGCCCATTTTAAAAATGGTCATAACTTGGAAAATTTTAGTCGACATCAGCTCAAACTTTCTACATAGCATAAGAATATCAATATGTATCAGAAAATGCAATAAAAATTGAGGGTGATTTTGGAGCCATTTTTTGAAAAAAACCATGGGTTATAGCCTTGGGTATTTTTGAGAATTTGGGTGTTTCCTTAAAATTGCCGTAACTTGAAAAATTGAAGTCAAAATTAGGTCAAACTTTCTACACAGCATAAGGACATCAATATGCATCAAAAAATGTAATAAAAATTTGGGGTAATTTTCAAGTCATTTTTTGGAAAAAAAACCATGGGTTAAAAGTACAGGAATTTTTTCAGAAATTGGGAATTTTAAAAAAATGGACATAACTCAAAAATTTCACTTAGAATCGGCTCAAACATTTTACATAGCATAAGGACATCAATATGTATCAAAAAATTTAATAAAATTTACATTATGGCTGCTTGTCTCACACTTCACCTACCGCTAAAATCTTGAGCAATTGCCAAGTGTTCCCCTTCCTTATCCCAATCCAGTGATGTACAAGAACCTGGTAATGATATTTTTGTGACTAGGTTCCCTTGACGAGTGTAGATAATGACTTCTTTAGTAGACACACTGCAGTGTATGATGTATTGGCAAAATCAGGGAGAAAAAACTTACCTAGCTACAGCCACAAAATTTCCCAAAACTGACTGCCAAGCAAAGTAAGTCTTGCCTTTAACTTCTTGCGGTATCTCAAACAGTAACTTTAGGCAATAAATACATAAAAATAAGGAGTGTATGACTAACAATACCTTCATTTTCTTAATTTCTTTGGGTGTACCAAGAATATACCGCCATTGCTGTTACATTAATAGAATTCCAATTAGTAACCATGGTGAGTCTCACGTGACTGTCATGTGACTAGTCATGAGACTCCTGACCTCAGCGAGCGTGACGAGCGTGTGTTAATATTGTCTTTCTTCTCCTCTTTCTCCCTTTCTCCCTTCCCCCCCGTCCTGCTAAGAGGGAGGGGAGAGAGAGTACTGACTGATCTTTCGTTCTGTAAGAGTCTTCATGTCCCGATAATTCTGTGATGTCTGTTGGTTTTCTTTGATTGTCTTTTCAATTCACACATGTTATCATCATTGCATTTATTCCTGGTAAGAAAGGACCATAATTGTACGACTTTATGGGGAAGGCTCTCGTATTGTAGGTAATTATTATTTAGATCACAATTATTATAAAGAAATTGTGTTTGATTTCGTGCAACACTAATCACTCCCATTATATTACAAGGTGAGAATCAATGCTGTGTATGTATACAATCATTAGCTGTCATTTTCAGGGATCCCATCTATTCATTCACTAATATTCCATTTAGCAGTATCATTGTGGTCCATTTGACGCATTATCAGTATCAATTGTCTATAACTCTCCCTCCTTCTCTCTTCCCTTTCTATTGATTATGGCTGCACAGTCTTCAGCGACACTTCAGCAACAAGTATCATCGTCTCTCTCCTCCTCCTTAACATCCTCGCCATATGCACCCTCTTCGCATCATCTTGAACACACTCTCTTAACCACTCCTCCTCCATCGTCCAGTGGTCCTCCTGGGGGTATCCCTACGCTTGAGTCTAGCATATACTCACTGACACCAGATCTAGCGTCCCTCCCGACTCCTGGTACAGATATTGAGTCTACCGGAGCCAGTCAGGTTATTATTATTAGTAGTGCTGTGAATAGTAACAGGATTGTGTTATTTGTTTTGTAGAAGATCACACTACTCACAAGGAGTCACCCTGCCAATCCCGGCCCTCCTCAGGTAGTAAGCTTTAGCCCATTCATTATCTCTTATGTGCATGACACATTCACCTATACCATATTGTACACTACAGTCTAATGCATGACATGTTCATCCATATAATGTACAGTCTAGAGTTTATTCAGTTGTTTGTGACCCTGCCAATCCCGGCCCTCCTCAGGTAGTAAGCTTTAGCCCATTGTCTCTTGTGTTCATGACACATTAACCCATACCATAGTGTACACTACAGTCTAATGCATGATATGTTCATCCATATAATGTACAGTCTAGAGTTTATTCAGTTGTTTGTGATTGGTTTGCTTGTGCTGATGGCATCTACACTGTAGTTTTGAAATAACACTATAGTTCCCATTTTGAGCTTTGATTTCAGTTACTACTGCCATGTACATATTCATGTCCATGTACGCCATACATTTATTAAAAGTCATGTTGTTATTATTTTTGTAGCCCGCTCTTTCGTCCTCACCTCTGGGGAGTCATTTTGATAATAATGTACTATCACGTATGCTATTGCCATCAGCTGACACTAGTCCTCTTACCAGACAACAGCAAAGAGGTACTAATAATAATTGCTCATTAACTATTGAGCCATTGATAGATTATTACTTTGATACGGAGGACCCTTCTGTGAACCTTCATGACTTCATTATTAATTCATTACAAGCCCCCAAGTAATAACAATTATTATTATATATAATGATAATCCTCAACTTGTCTCTGTTGATAGGAATCGTGTTATTCTGTTGCAATTAGAGGATGAATTCCTCAAGTATGTCTCTGACCCTAAAAGGTACTGACTGATACACCTTCCTCTATTTCTAAAGCTTTCCTTCCATGTTTACTCTTCCTCTCTTGTTCAATGTCCTGTTAGCATAATATATGTACATCATATACATATACACATAAAAGTATTATAATATTTTACTTGTAGGACTGAGCCACTGAAGCTGCCATCATGGGATTCTTATCATCGCATGTTAGCTCATCGTGTCGCTGCCTACTTTGGTTTAGAACACAACGTTGACCCACAGGATAAAACTAGAGTAGTTGTATTAAAAGGACCTTCAACACGATTGTAAGTGACAGTGATATTCCTATCACTGTTTACTACTGAGACCAATGTGCCTATTAAACACAAAATTTATGAAATTTATGAATGTTAAATTACATTTTAATAATTAAAGGCGCGTGATTTGGTGTTTACTTATTCTTATCAATGCATAGTACAGCAGTGTGTGTTTGTATGTTGTGCAGTAACTAGGTTACCTTGTTAGCTATTATCTAAATGTTGTAGTTTGCATCAGTTATATGGCTCTGTTTATGTGTATTATGATTGTGTTTGTATTATCATTAATAGGCCACAGCAGCGTTTCTCTGATCACATTCCTGCAGCTGTCTATGAAGAGTCTGACAATATTTCTGAGCCAAAATTAATATTGAAAAGAATAAGAGCTAGCAGTGGGTCTGAAAAGGTAGTATATTATATTATTTTTAATTATACATGTATTTTACCATTATGATTCATATTATTGTTGTTGTTATTATTATAGTTTGATGGTCTTTCAAACAATGCTGCTGCAGAGATAAAGACATTTGAAGAGAGAGAGGAGGAATATGAGAAGGCAAGAGCAAGGATATTTAGTCAATCTTCATCTCAACTTCATGAAAGCGACACTACTTCTATACCATTTGATCTCTTCAGCACCTCTCCTTTCTCACAAAGGTAAAAGCTATAGTAACCATGTATACTAGTAACTTTTATTGTAGTAGCACTTGTAAATTTTTGTAGTTGTCTTGTAGTAAACAAAAAGAATATTAATATATTTTTAACAATTATATGCTTGTCAAATTGTAAATCATACATCATTATAATGGATTACCTAATTTCCTTATTTTATGGTGCCTGTTGGTAATGCTTTACCTTTACTTCCCTTACTGGACTATGTGTACATACTGTGATGTCACATTGACTCTATACTGTGCTCTACAGATAAAAGAAAATCCATTTTTCTAAGTTGTTGTTTATGTCTGTCTTAGCAATAGAGGGTATGGCTCTATTGCCTAATCATATGCCAATAGTCCAATACAGTGTATGTCAATACTCAATGCACCACAGCATATTGTACTACTCTTGCTCTCTCATTTGGTACATTGTACAAATGTACTTTGTACTAGCTAGTACATGTACATACATGTATGTATTAAGGTAATTAGCAATGGAAATGATCTCAAGTTATTGTGTCGTCTACATGTATAAAGTTTTGTTTCTGTCAAATTTAATGGCTATAATTTTTGAGTTAAAAATAATTATGCCAATATTAATTATGGACTATTTTGTTGAAAGTTTTTGATGCATACTGGTACATGTATATGTATTTGTACATGTGTGTAGCCGTGTACATGCTCTTTTGTCATTAGAAGTTTCAGCCAATTCTAACCTTGTATGGCGATTTATTGATATTAAAATTGAATACTGTGTGTGGCCAAATTGGATTACATTGTGCGTGTAGATGTTGTTACCTTCTGTAGTAAAGAAATATTTTAATTTGTATTTACTATACTGCTCCTGCTATGTACACATTTTAATGTAAATTTAATAATTTTATAAGTGGTATTCTTTGATGGTAAATTTGCTATACAATAGACTTCAAAAAAACAATATAGCGAATGTACATGTATATTTGTACACATTTTGTACATGTATTGTACACATACAGTGTTTGAAAATTATAATTATTAAGCAATTATGCATTGATATTTTGAGCCAGCCTGTTTTATAATTTAAATATAATTGTACATGTATACTAGTTATGATATTTTACACAAAGCATGCTAAATGAACTAAAAAGCATGCTTAGTGAGCTGACAAGCGTTATACATGTAGCTTATAGAGCAACTTTAAAATAACATGAATTTATCAGGAAAACTATAAAAATAAAGAGCCATTTGTGAGGAAATTTGGCCAAAAACTGTAGCCTTTCACCTTTATAAATTCAAATTTGATTGGAATGAACTAAAACTTTCTACACAACGTTAGAATTTGTGTATGATCAGAAAACGTAATAAGAATTCTATCCTTTTCATGAATTTGAAAAAATAACAGTAATAGGATATTTTTTCAAATTTTGAGAAACTTTAAAAGCAACTTTACATGTACATGTACTACAGTTAATATTAACATGTGCAGTGAGCAATTCACATGTAGTTGAATTTATACATACACGTAAATGCATTGTTCAAGTTTCATTATGATTAATTATTCTTTTGTTTCTATAGTCACAGCACACTTCGTACTCCGTTACATCATCGACGTACATTCAGTGACACGGCTTTCATTAATAAACTATTCTCTCAAAAGGAGAACAAGCCCGGTCCCTCCAGCAGTGGTAACAGCCCCAGTAGCACTCCTGCCTTCTTTCCTCCTTCCCCTCCCTCCCTCTCTGCCTCCTCTTCCAGTAATGTTATCAATCAATCTTCAACCACTCCTGATGTGGTAAGTACAGTCCACACATGTATAATGGATGTTATGGCAATTGATGCATTTCTGAATATTATACCGTATGGGGGTATATTTCCCAGTGAAAATATTTCACGAAAATCACTTTCAAACTAATCCACAAGAAAAAACTTTTCTTCTACTGACCATTATTATAATTTAAAAATAATTTTCATAGATAAAAATTTTCATGAACTTTTTAAAACCGTGAAATTAGCGAAATTAAATCCCCATGAAATATACCCCTCATTTACATGTACATGTACATGTACATGCATGTGTATTTAATAATTTTTATAGCATGCACATGCATGTATAAAAAACTTTATTGCACAGTCTATGCTATTGATACTTATTCTATTATTTCATAGGAGACTCAGCTAGCTTCAAGACAGCATCAGAAGAGAGTCGTAGCCAGCAGACCTCAACCCCCAACCTTCATGCCATTGAATTCAATGCAAGGAGGACCACTCCCCACAGCTACCATACCTATAATGTACCATCCTCAAGCAGTCATTGATCCTAGCTGGTATTATAATCATATGGTTCTATATCCAGTTGCTGCTCCTGCTGCTCCTGGTCCGCCCCCTCCCCCACAAGCTGCCGGGTATCCAATGCCTCATGTTGTACAGTCCCCAGTCCTTCCTCATTACTCATTGCCAGGACAGCACCCTGGTGTTCCTGGCGTTGGCCCTCGTATCGGTGCTGTTGGTATACGTGTACCCTCTCCCTCGGGGATATCTGATCATTTAGGATCACCTACTCATCCTGGAGGCATTATCTATAGACCACTCCCACAGCAGGCTCCTGGAGTTCAAGTATGATTATTGATTAAGGCTTACTTGATGAAACATGTTTGATATTGTGACTGTGTTAGCTATTGGGACTCTCTCTATCTGTTTATTGTTATTCCTCCATTATCACTTTGTTTGAGTTGCATTATGTAACAAATTATGCATGCAGGGTTTCTCATAAATTGAGTCAACATGATTCCATCATGTTAACCAAGTGTGGTGACACAACCCTAATACTTGCAATACTTTTATTGTAACAATAGTAACATAGCTGTCTATTTGGCAATCCCTTTGTTATAAAGTATGAATATGTATGGATTTATGGATAGCTACCTATTTACATCATAAAGGGGCACAAAAGCATAACCAGCAATGTATATAATTATACATCATTACCCATAAAGCATGCTAAGTGAGCTAAACAGCATGAGCTTGATGAGCTGACAAGCACTGCATGTATACATGTATAATTATAGTACTATGGCTTTTGGAGCAACTTTTAAAATTTGTGAAAAAAATCCAGTTCAATTGGAATACAGCTTGAAATTTCTACTCAACATGTATGATGTATCAAGAAAAAAATTATAAAAATGGAAAATTTTCTCTTTGTGATTTTTGTCAAAATACCCTATGAGGCTGTGACTAGTGACTACTTTATATTACAAGGTCTTTGGCCCAATTGTTGAGCAACTTGACAATGTACATGTAACTATTTCTACCCTGATTAACTTCTATTCTTAATTCATATCACTGCATGACTTGATCAATGATTATTAACCTCCTTTTTACATGTACAGTACTTGTATCTTCTTAACCCCTTGTGTTCTAATTCTTTATTTCTTATTATAGTTGAAATCGGAGGAATATTCTAATGCTGGCCCACTATGGAGTCCTCAGGGTATCCCTGTCTATCAGACACCTCATCTTCCTCCTTCCTCCTCCTCTCAGTTCCCCCTCCCTCCCCCTGCTAACATTATAGGCCCTGGACAGTTAACGGAGCAAATGGAAAAGGGAATGTCATTGTCAGATGGAGTGGATATGAATGATTCTTCTGGTGATAAGGTCCCTCCAATAGGCCAACAGAGACAGCCACTCTACATGCATACTCCCAGTCACGTCTATGGCAGAGGTGGAGGGGCTCAGCAGATGTATGGGTATCCTGGTATGGATCCTCTTGTTATTAGTCCAACTGCACTAGTCCCACCAACTCAATCTCAGTTCCATCCACTACACGGGCATAGTGACACAATCCCTTCTAGACAGCATCATCCTTCCTTCCCTCCAACTAACCTCTCTATTCATGGAGGTGACAGTGGGTCCCCTACACTGCCTCCTGGCATTACTGCACAGTTCCAGCCACCAATGCAAAGCCCAGTGCAGATTCTTGGACACACTCTTAGCACTAGTATATTCTCACCTCCGCCCTCAGCTGGCCCTTCTGGCCTGTTTATGACTCCTCCTGGATCCACTGCTAGTGTTATACCTGGTGGGGCAGGTGGTAAGCCTAATTCCCCTGGTCATTCAGCAGTGGTTGGCTCTGGTGCTATGAGATTCACACCTAAAGGAGGTGCAAGGCCGCCCGAGCTCCCAATACAAGCCCAACCAACTAGCATTGAGACGAGTAAATCAAATGATGTGACTGGTGTTCCTCCTGGTATATTATCACAGCAGCAGCCATTACCGCCAAGACTGGCTCAGAGAGGAGGAGGTGGGACTCGTTATCAGAACCAGCGTCATCCTAGTAATAGAGCTAACATGAAAGGAGGTCCTGCAGATTCTCCGTCAGTTCAGTATCATCACGGCCAGTATGCAGTGCCTAATAACACTCATCATCATCACAATCCTTATTCTACTGGTGCCCCTAGGAAGGAACCATTGTTACCCACGCCAAGTGAAATGATTAAACTAGATACTGGGATTACAGGTAAATGGCATTAAATCTCTTTTTATATCATTTTGTTTATCTTAAACTAGTGTTATTATAGTTATACTTTTAAATTGATAGCCATTTTTGGACTTGGGCAAAATTATAATATCATTTTTTGAATGCACACAACCCAAAAATTTGTGATTCTTGAAGCAAAGGCAAATTTATATTTTTTTAGAGGCACTTTAATATATATATTCATTATAAAAGTATAAATTCTGTTTTTTTTTTTTCATTCATAGCTGGAGTGCCTGTCCACATTATGGAAGTTCTTAATCCTTTTCCAGAAGATTCATCAGAGAACCAGCAGTTGATATCACGACTACAAGTATGTGCACAGTGGTAGTAATTTTTAATACATTTTACACTTACAGCAACGAAAATTACATGTACATGTACATTTTGAAGCAATTTGATCTTTATCCTTATAATACTACAAACTATTGCTGTTGTTTTATAGGAGCATGGTGCATTGGAATTCAAACGTAGTTGGATGAATCGTAATACAGAAGTGATGATTGCCATATTTGACAGCAGTGATTCTGCACTGCAGGCTCTCAAACAATGTGTATTGCCTTCTCCGGCAAAGCTCTCAATCCCTCTACCTACTCATGCGAAGCATATTTTACAGCTATTGATAAAATTTTAAATGTGCATTTTTGCTGTTTATAAGTACAATTTCTTTTTCGTTTTAATCATTATTATTATTTTTCTATAATTATGCAACACAACATGATATTGTTATTATTATGACGCATGCATGCTGATTCTTGTTAAACCACAATCCTTTTTTACACAGACACTAATTCTCACATGTAGACACTATCTCTTTTTTTCCATTTCACTATCCATAATCATGCTTTTCATTACCAATAATATTATTATTCACATTGGGAAAATTGCCTCATGAAAAAAATTCAAAAGAAAATTAATGAGAGCCCTCTAAAAGGAGGTAAAAATAATAATTGTGTGTGTGTGTAGGTATTATTATTAGTAGTATAAGAGAAAACAAAATCCAACAGAAAAAGAGAGAGAGGAAGAACTAGCAATAGTATAAAAGTACATACAAGTCATGAGTATCCTGATGGGGAATAAAGAAATTATTATTAGTTAGAAGGAGGAGGAATTGAGCCATCAAATAATTCGTCAAAGGAACTGGCTTGATTTAAACCTAGCGATGGGCCAAGATCAGGAATAGGGAACCCAGTCAAATCAGGAGTACCATTGAACTGACGAGAAGACTATGAATAATAAGAATAATAACAAATTTAATAATTGACTTACTCCACTGCTCATCATAGAATAAGGAGAATGAGGGTTTGGTGTCTATTAGTAGAAAAAGACAAAAATAATTATTATTATCATGAGCTTGCTTAATTTTTCAGCTACATTTATTACAAAATTTTGGCCACATTTTATGGCCTAGCTTTGCTTCAAAAATAATAATAAATATCATGTGTTTAAATTAAAAGTGCATCATGTATTGGAAATGCAATTGAAATGCCCTTACTATAGTGCTACTATAATCTAATTAACATCAAGGCAGGAAAAGAAAATTTAGGAAACATCACAAGCTACAGTATATGTGTACTTACACCAACAAAAGAGTACAGGGAGGGAGCAGGGCTGGCAGGATTGCTTGGTGTTCTAGTATGACTTCCTGGCATTGTTATAGTAACTTGAGACTCTAAATATCCATCATTGCGTGCCTCAACTCCTAATAATAGTAATAATAATAATAATAATAATAATAATAATAATAATAATAATAATAATAAATAACAACAGATCAGCTCAAAAAGTACATTTATAAGAATCAGATAATGTGATTAAAAAATGGAGAATTCTCTTGCAATTTTTGATGAAATTTGGCAAAAGTCTCTCTGCTACAAACAATTTTTAGCAACTTTAAAAATTCATTAAAAATCCAAATTTGGTCAGAATCAGATCCAAGTTGATACACAACATAAGGATATGAATACGTATCAGAAAAAAAATTATAAAAATGGAGAATTTTTCCTCATCATTTTTGGCAACAAGACCATGTACTTATTTCCGTTATTATTATCTCATTTGTTAACCTACTATTTATCCTTGTGTTGTATCTATTTTGTAAAAAATGTTTATTTAAGGGCTCAGTTCCCTCCTATACTGTACTACAGTACAGGGACTTTGGCCCAACTTTTGAGTAATTAAAAAAATTCATAAAAAATCTAAACTTGATTGGACTCGGCTTAAACTTTTTCCACAACATAAGAACATATAAATTGCATCAGGAAAATTTATAAAAATGGAGAATCCTCTGGTAGCAATTTTTGACAAAATATCCTGTACTATTAATAGGGTACAGGGTCTTTCTTTGACCAGATTTTTGAGCAACTTTAATAATTGACAAGAAAGAAGCTGAGCACTATGCCAGATATCTGTGGGAAGGGCCCACCCCGAAACAAGCCAATTTAAATGCAACTTTGTACATTTCAATAAATGATGATGATGATAGCTCACTTTGAGGAGTGTAGTACGGGCCAAAGACTTCATCTTTAAGACGATTAGGATAAAGAAAGATCAAGTGATGTAAGTCATGTAATCTATGTACAGAAGGAAATGAATCCTTAATATAACTGTAATGTGATTCATATTGATACCTATCAGCAAATGATCGAATGGTCAGATCATGTTTACCCCATGGAGCCAAATGAAAGGTTTGTTTATCCCCAGTTTCAGTTTCTGTATAATAAAAACAATAATAAAACAATAATAGAAACAATATAAACAATAATAGAAACAATAATGATGACAAAGTTAACAACAGTGTAATAATAGTAATTAATATAAACGTACAGTGTACAATGCCATTATTATATGTACTATACATGAGCTGTAAATATTAATTTGTGGGACTGCATACCGTATAGCACAAAATTTTCGAGGGCTGCAAATTTCACAAAAAAATCTACTTATAAATTTAATTTTCACACATTTATGCGATCTGCCATCTTTTACCACAATAATTTGATTTTTGCAAAAGTAGTTTTTGCGAATCTTCAAAAAATCACAAAATCCACAAAATTTACAGCCTTTGAAAATTTTGCACTATAGGTATCTGTATAAAATTAATGCTGAACAATGAGCATTGATATAATTAATCTTGCAGATTCTTAATGTCTGATTTTATAATAAAGGGTATGCCTGTCCCTGTACCATATACTACAGTACAAGTACATGTGTGTGTGTATGTGTGTATGTATGTACATACCAGCAACCCAAGTAACAGAGGCAGCTCCAGCCTCAGAGTCAGAGAAACGCACAAGGAAAGTCCCTGGCTGAACTTGGAGCAATACCGACTGGGCTTCAATCTTATCCATGAAACCTTCAAGCAGTCTAGACAATAACAATAAATAAGTAAATAATCATACACACCAAATAAAACAACAAACATTATATTAAAAAAATTCACACAAAATCCACACATACCCTAGCTAGTACTGCTGGTACAAGTACATATATCATTTTAAAAAAAAACAATGGTTGCTACAAAATGCACTTGGTCTTAATCTAGCACTGCATTAATGAGCATGTGCATTAATGATAGGTAGTTTTAGAGAATTTCAATTTGCCAATCACCATAATAAAATCCACCAAATTATAGCACAGTATATATTATAGTACTAAAGTGTCACTTACCCTTCGACCCATTCTCTCTTGAGTGTGGTCTTAATGAGGTCCAGGTGCTTATAGAACCACTCCCAGAAGGTAAAGGAACGACCTCTTAACTGATCACGGCACATCTGCTGTCTTGTAACAGACATCTGAATAATATCCTCCTCCATGCCTACTATTAATGAAATAAGGTAATATAACTATTAGCAATTGAGAGCATGTACAGTACATGATAATGTACGTATTACATATTATGTATACTATTGCTGTTAATGACAAATAGAAAGTCAACATAATCTACATGTACATGTGCAAATACAATGTACCTGTACATGTAACTATCATGCATACTGTACAATTATTGGAAATTTTAAGTCACACAATATACATGTACACATACACATGCATCCCCCAAAAAATATAAAAGATACATGCATGTACATGTATATTCATGACACTATTCCCTTTTACAAAATATTGATACAAATCAAAAGAGGGAGAATGATAGACATGTACATTATATACTTACCAACTCCAAGAAGTTTACGTCCCAAATAGTCAAGGTTCCTAGGAGTGAGTCCTCTGCCTGAAATAGTTTGAAAGTAATGATTCAATGCTTCAGAGACCCTAGGCCATGATACTACTTCTGGTACAACAAACGGCTCTCGATTCTACATAAGAGACGATAAACAAAATCCCAAATAAAACTGGACTAACAGGTTCTGCAAACGAGTTATCCCAGAATATAGTAGCCTCTGCTGCTGGCTGCTGAGTGACATGGACTATAACCACCACTGGTAAGCTTTGACACTAGAAGGTATAAACATACAATATAAATACAATAAAGGATCATTCATACAGAGCTGTTAGTAATGTGGTCAATGATAGTGTAACAATAGCTGGGGTTGCTTAAATAAATTATTATTATCTCACATACATCTACAATATACATGCACATGCATATAATTCATTTAACTTGTTACTCAATTATAAATTCAATAATAGGCCAATGACCACTGCAGCTGCTAATTGAAACTATACACAATAATAATACATGTACATGTGTATGTGGTATTTAATGTACATGTACATGCACATGTGATACACACATAATTTAATTAATACTTAGATTCTGTAAGATAAAACATGAAAATATCAAAACCATAAACCACAATAAAATACCCACACTTCCCCTCACATCAGGGCCTACCATGACAGGGATATCCAGCTCATCCCCGGGTATAGTGAACTTTGAACGAAACAGAATAGTGAACTTCTCTTCCATGACAATCTCAGTCGATTTCCTGTCACTGTTTCTCTTGATGCGTCTTAGCTGCATGTAGTTGAAGTTACACTGTAGGACGCCAGTCTGTGAGTTATACTCCATAGCCTTCTGATGATTGACTATCTCTCCTGATGTAAAAGAGCTACTCAGGCTGAAAGAGATAAATAAATAAAGAAAGAGATAGAAATGAAGATAAGGCTTAAAAATAGAAATAAAGACATGTAGAAATGAAGATATGAAAAGACAGAGAGAGATGCTGGTAAAATCAGTCTGACATATTATTAAGTGAATGGTCTCAGATGAGGTTCTTGTTATCAAATTCCACTCAAAATGTAGTTCAAGTAATGACTAGCTTTTGATTTGAATTATTGGCACAAATAAATCAAAGAAGCATTAAAGGATACAAAAGAAGCATTAAAGGATCTAAAAGAGGAAGCTCAAAATTTCCCTTTCAAGGCATGAAAAGGAAGTACAGTGCAAATAATGCAATCAAAAGCTATGATGATGTTGTTAAAGATAAAAGCAAGAGAACAACAATCTGCAATTATTCTCAGAACACTGCCTTCATCAAAAGGATCAATATTTGGCTTGGTAATATTAACATTTATTTACTGAAAATGCTAACAAAACTTGACAAAACCAATGAACTTAATGAGTGGACTCAAACCTTTTACCTCTCATCAATGACCACTGTATATCTATGCAACACAAGCTCCTAACCACTATATACATGTACATGTATATGTATTTATCTAACAAAAGCTTCTAAATCAATTGCAATATACATGTACATAATGTACACAATCTCTTTATATTACTGGGAATTGAATTTGTTGATATTTTCTAATCTATTTTAAATAGTACAGCTAATATGGAGAGATGCTACATAAACATGTGCATTTACGTAATACTGTAAAAAATGTAAATCAGGAAATTTCTGTGATGGAATTATTTTGTGTCTCAAAATTATGCTGTGATTTAATATTTACATAGTAAGACTGTGTCATGCATTATTAAACGCGGCATGTAACTACATGTGTGATCTAATTTTCACAAAAATAAAATTAAAGTCACAGTAAAAATTTCCAGAGACAGTAATTATAAATTCACTAATAAATAATGGTATATATACTTACACTTTAGAGGGATCTGAAAGCAATGCCTTAGCTTGTTTCTCACTATAAACAAAGAATATAAAAGGAAATACAATACCCCATGGACCTACCTAATGATACTGCCAACCACTTCAGGTACATTAAGATGAAGCTGGAGCTTACTACCAACTAATAACCTGTTACATATATCACCAATGAATCTAAAAAGTATTTTATAAATCTAACCTGATGGTTGCTGAGAAACGATTGGAAGTCTTTATAACTTGAGGAGGTTGTTTCTCCAACACAAAACTCCTACAAACAATAACATGATAGAATACACACATACTTCAATATTATCTATGTAATTAACAAACACGCATCAATCAAAGAGATGTGTTATAAGGTACAATTGTACATAAACTACATATGTGTACGTGTACATCTACATGCATACATGTACATTAGTACATGTGTACATATGTGTACATGTACATGTACATGTATACATGTACATTAGTACATGTGTACATACATGTACATGTACATGTACATGTATACATGTACATTAGTACATTGAAGCAGGCAACAGTAAGTACATGTATGTATTGATTAATGATACACTGTATACTGACTCTGATATTAGTTCTTGTAGGTATTTGGTGACGTGTTGGGTGATAGTATGAAACTGATCGTTCTGCTGTAGTATTGGAGTAGCTGCACGACTCTGCGTTATCAATAACTGCGTGTTTGGAAAAAGCAACAAAAGATATGATATATCACTTGCGGTTTGATACTATTTTCATAGTTTTTTGCAATGCATCAATAACACTAAAACAATTACTGTAGCATGCAAATAATATGTAAATTAACTACAGTATAATTATGCTACCACACCTTTTAGACTATCAATATCATTCATTATACTTTATTAAAAGCAACTACATGTACATGTACAAATATCAATGTATGGCATTTATAATATTACCTGTTTCCCTAGTTGTCTGAGGCGCCACAACAGTTCTGCAAGGGACTCAAACCAGTGCTGTAAGGAATTAAGTTCATTTCTGTTTGGATCGTCTTCATGATTGAAGAGTCGCTGGGATTGCTTCCAATTGTTCAGTTCAACCGCAACAACCAGATGATGAGTCCGTCCCACTTCTTCTAGACACTCCAAGAATCGCTGACCCAAATCCTAAGAGCAATAAAGAATAATTGTAGAATCAATATAATGGATTCTCAGTAACAATCAAACAAAGGAGATAAATGAGAAACCATACAATTAATTCAATTATACCAGAGGTCATAAAGTACCTTACATAATTCTTATGAACCAGAAACAAGTATTGGTGAAGATCATAATTATATGCATGTACGGCAACCAAGATTAATAAAATGTCATGTATAGCAATTTGTAAACATTTTCAGAACTTTTAAAATTTCATAGCTCAAACAAACAATTCACATCCATGTGTACACATCAAGGAATACTCAGGAAAAATTTATCTTTCCTAATACTATATCCACAGTCCAATGTGTTAGATAAATGAAGTGCATGCTTCCTTACATCAATTGTTCTTTTCATTTCTTCGGCATCTTTTGCAACAATCTGATCAATCAATTGCTTCCTTTCTCTATATTTACCAAGTTGATCTGGTGGAAAGCCACCGCCTTGATGAAGCATTACTATTGACACAAATGACACACACATGAAGACGCATGCATTAAAATACCTTCTAGTCTACAACCCTCTTGATAATGTATTTGGAATGACTCATGCTTTGCTGTTAATGTGCGATACATAGTTTCCATACCCTACAGAGAGAATCAATGAGAATAGTATCATCAAATTGACCATGAGACATACTTCAGTCCTTGACATGATATTCTGAATTAGTTGCTGTATCTGTGAAGCATTGCTATTACTGGAGGGTGTCAGTCTATTCTGTAATTACACATGTTATTCATTATTATCATTATTATAGTTATCAGTAATAGTTTACATTGGATTTCTCAAACTCTTCTTGTTTGCGGACCAGCTCAGCTTCTGTTACTAGACACATCTGAACAACACGAACTAGTTCTAGGGGACGCTGAATGTACTCACCCTAACCATACACAAACACACGCACATAAATACATGAAAAGTATAAATATTTTCAGATTAAATAATACACATGTACATGTACGTGCATTAATTGATTGCTAGATATTATAATGGGGTTCTGCTAACCTTCATGTGTGCAAACAAAGCCTCTAATTGAGTTTTAGTGATAAAATTTGCAGAATATGTTGCTATTAACTAAAAATGATGGCAAATAATAACCAAACATAATAATAATAATAATAATAATAATAATAATAATAATAATACTATAATGTTCAGTAACCTCTTGAAGTGCAATGAGCATTGCTTCAAATAATCTACGAGCATTAGGTTCATGTGCTGGTATATCAGGATCAATATCACTCCTACATAACATAAATAACATACCGTAGATCAGGAAATTTGTGCAGTAGAAAATTTGTGTGTTTTAAAATTGTGCTGTGATTTAAATTTTACTAAATAAGACTGTGTCATGTATTATTGAATGTGGCATGTAATTATATGGGTTATCTAATTTTTTTGCGAAATTCTAATCCAGTAAAAATAAAATCACAGTAAAAATTTCCAGATCCGTATAAGTGGTTTTTTAGGGTTGCAAATTTCGTGAATTCCTTCCTGATTCACGAAAATAAAATCCGCAAAAATCAATTTAATACGGTACCACATGGCACACGTGGTATAATTCGTGAAAATAAAATCTGTGAATTGGAATTTTAATAGATTTTGCAAAATATAATTCCCTCAAAAAAATCACTTATACGGTAGTGTAATACTACAGTCAATTATAAAGTCAAGATGTATTCTTTCCACTATGAGCTATTACACACTAAAGAAAGCACCAATGCAATACACTCTACACATCAAAAGAATTAAGAAACACTAACCCTAATTACCTCATAAAGAGGAATTGACAGTTTTACACGAGAAGAAATTTTGGTGGGCACGCAGCCATTATCATCAAAATTTTCAAAACTATCAAACGGAGAGTTTTTAACTTACAAAGGCTGAAACTTGAAATTACAAAAAATCGACATGCATAATAACAGACTCATAGTACAATACCTTAAACTACATATGTACATGTATAAACCATCAATTAAAGACACTCCAGCTTATACTCAAGTACATAAAACTATACCTGCAGACATAACCACAAATATCCCCTGTTACACAAGGTACTATAACTGTACACTACTAACACATACATGTAACTTACATGTAAGCTTTGCATACTTAGGATTTACTGGTTCATACATGTACAAAGTACTGCAACAATACTTGAAGAATGTACATGTATGTGTAACATTTACGCATGTAAAAACTTAGCTGGAACTGACATACAAGAGCTTCATAAGATAATTATTCTACTTGAGTAACTATTGCTGGGCAAGTGAGTATCATGCAGCAACACATGATCACAAACTATCAATTTTATTGACACCAATTAATATACATGACAATTAATGGAAGTATATTAATACTTCACAAATGCACTATACTATAAACACACCTGACAGGTGTAACCAATAGCACATGTATAGCTTCTGCTAAAATATTTTTATTGACTTCTAGCAATAACTACATGCATGATAAAATCTTTAAAATTCTTAAGGCCCGCCTAATCTAGATGATGTAAAAAAACATTACCCACAATCACAAACTTTTTGAGTTGTGGACTTCACAAATCATAATTTAGAATTAATATACTAGTGTCAACTATTAACAAAAATTCTACACTACATATATATATATGTGTTCATAATTTCCTGACAATATTTTGAAACTGACCACAAAGGTCATTTTTGTGGCACAACAGCTACATGTACAAGTAGTTACATTGTGTGAAAACAGCACAAAATATTACATCATTAATTATAATCAGGATAAACTAACTATCCTGGGGGTATCCCTAAGACAACCAAGTACTTCATCCAATAGGACCAATACACCATCAGTTCATTATGCGTGTAGCAAACAAATAAAAATAAAGATGCCCCAATTAGCAACCACCCCAATAGCAAGCCTTGGATAAAATGGGTTGGTGCTTTGAAATGGGTATACATGAGGCAAAAACTTCTCCGGTAACAATAAAACATTGAAAGCACAACTAGAAGTCTTAGTAACATACATATACACATGTAGAAAAATGGATAAGTGCTAGCTAGTATTGGCAGTGTACTTTAGGACATAATTTAACATTACATACATGTGTACATGTACATGACTGAATGCACATGAAAGAATATTAAAATACACTGCATTGCATGAGATTACATCTACTTTGTGTCATGTGAAATACAAAATTACATTTATCTTACTATCATTTTAAGTTGTTAGTATTATTATCATCTTCACTTTAAATTTTTGAGTAGCATAATTAATAATTAAAAACTCAATATCAAGATAATTCACATGAGTTCTAAGTTCATCTATACACTGTATAATAGCACCAGATAAAAACACAATATTAGGCACACAAGTAAAAAGCCAAAAAGCTGTTTTTACTGGAGTTTAATTTAATTATCAACTCTTGCCAAACAGAAACTATAAGTTTCCATTAGTTTACTGTTCAAAATGCATGAACTGTATATAAAAATGAAGAATATTTCAATAACAGCCAATTTATACACAGAGAAAAGGAACTACAATCGTGTTTATATAATAGTATAAAAGTACAGAAAAATAATAATAATAAATCATGACCTTTGCTGATAATTGGTTGAATTTACTAATAAATAATAGCTGTGCCCCTACACTGTGCATAGCTTGCATACCAGGGTATTACATGTACATGTATTTATAAAGGATGTATAATGTGAGTGTGTGTGTGTGTGTGTATATATGTACCACATCTGGGCTTCAATCCATGTAGCCAGGTAATGGCGGACTTCGATAGGAAAACGTGGCCCGTACAGTTGTTTCATTTGCTCCAAGAGTGGCCCCTGAAGGCGCTGGCTCTTATCCCAGAGAGCCATTATTATTGTGATATAAAGTGATAGCGTGTAATCCTACAAATATATCCATTAACTTCCAGTTACTGTAACTAGAGATACTGACACATACAACAAAGACATGCAAAACACTTGTTTAATCTCTCCTCTCTCAAAGAAGCTTAGATGATCTGGTCTAATGCAATAAGAGTTTAGTAGTTGCACATACAAATACTGAAGCATGTAAATAAAAGTAGACAAAATATCTAAACAAACTCACCAATAGCCTCTTCCAGCAGCTCCCACACAGACGAGCACGCACGGACACAAAGAGTATGGTAGGATGTAGGCTCTTCTCTTTCTCCTATCTCTAAGAAAAGTTGGTCTTCACGAATAGTAACGATGACGTTAATCCTCCGGGGAAATGCCTCAAACCGTCTAACCCTTTAAAGCGCTCTCGTTCACAGTAAATACAACTGTTTCCCTGCAAGTATTCTCTGCCTCCTCTTCTAGGAAGACATGCTGTTGCCTCCCGGTTAGGTCTTCCAGTGAAAATAATTTCAGAGTAACATGTGTTCGTTATAAATAAAACATACGGTAGACATGCGGCCTGATTAAATTCTTAAATCACGTGCGGTTCTGCCCACGCGTAAATGTGTGGGCGTTTGATAGTAACACTTTCCAAAAGAGAAGGTGGTAAGCTTGGTTGCTTCTCATAATAAACTGGTTCTTTCTTGTCTCTGTTTCTGTAATAGGCTAACATTATGAACTTCAGTGGATGGCTGGAGAAGAGAGGCGGCCAGGATGCTACTAAAGTAATGCGTCGTGAGTATTACTTTGTGATACTTCTTACTTGCATAGGGCTGGAAGAAAAGGTGGTGTACTCTCAGTGACAACACTTTCAAGTACTTTAAGAATGACTCGGTAAGTGTTAAGCTATCCAGTATTTGTGTTAAAACAACTGTGTGTATGAGATATTAAATTAACATGTGAATGTGATGAAAAGGGAATCTGTATGACTACTTCAAGGAAGCCACTGCAATGAGTAATGGTATACTTCACTTTTACTTCATGACACTTCTTATTAAAATATGACAGATTCTTAGCTGGAGTTTGCTTTTACCCCAGATAACCAATTTGTTTGTTGTTGATTTAGCAGGTAGTTATGCAGTTTCAGTTGACATTTTTGACTTCTTTTATTACAATCAAGAAGTCAATTAAAGTTTTTGATACCGTAAGGCAAGCCCTGCTTTATACTGTGGCAGCATTTACCATAACTACCTTTGTTACAGTTACCACCATGGGATTAACACAATTATATAAACAACAGTGTTGATGATAGTGACCTTAGCATAATTAAAAACATTCATCAGTAAACAAAGCCTTATGATTGTATTTCTGTAACATTAAAAAGCAGCAAGAATAGCTTTAAAAGCTAGATCAGTGTTATAGCTATAATTCTATAAATCGATTAAAACCCATGTTCATTTTGCCATTCTCTCCCAAAATGAACAATATTATTGACAGTTTAATCTTGTGTAACTTGATTATAATCTAGAAACTTTTATTATAATTTTGGTTATTATCCAGAGATATCCAGCTCCAACTGAATGTAAGCAAACTTAAGATAATTTAGATCTATAGTACTAGACATAGTTGCAAATGTCTTGGGACTTGGGAGAAGGAATCGTAAATCGAAATAGTACAGATTATACTCTTTCTATTATAATGCATGCTAGACAGAGATGGCAAATTCTGAGAGCTGCCCTTTTAAGGAATGTGTTTTGCCAGTAGTTGCATGCTTTTGGCTGGCAATGCTATCATTATTTGTTTCTTTTTAGGACAGTTCTCCTGCTGGCATTATATACTGTGAAGACATTGATGAAGTAGCCATTCATGTACAAGAAGTTCAGAAAGATATTTCGAAAGTATAGAACTAATATTTCAAGCATTAATGATAATTGTTGCAGCATGGTTTTACATTCAAGATTGTAACTAAAGGACGAACTTATTTATTTAATGCAGTTTCTAATGCTAAAAGGGTGAGTACAATGTGTCATCCTCGATCACTGATCAGTATCCACACTCCTTATAGGACGAATGGATAAAAGCAATTCAAGACCTTATTTCAGCACATAAGGAAGGTACACACTATAATTTAAATGAGCTCCATTATATCATTGTTGTCGTACAATAGAACCACAGACCCCAACATTACTCTACACAACTGTAGAGATATTTTGTGGTCAAAAGCCAGCCATAAGAGTCAATGGAGATATCTCAACTGAACTAATGATGCAGTTAAACAGTAGTACCACAAAAACAATCCAGGATGATAGAGGATGGTAAATCTTGCAATAATCCTTTTATAATTAATTCATATTGTACATAATCTATAGGTTTGCTGAACTTTCCACCACTCATACAACAATATTAAACTTATTTAATCAACATGGATGGAGTCTCATGACAGCATTTGCCTGTAGCTCTGTTCCTTCCAATTCAACAACAGCAGCTCACTCTGATATGATGATACTCACAAAACCAAACTACAAATAATATTTTAACATTTTTAATAATATAATTTTTAAATTTTTGTTGCAATAAATAGTTATCATAGTCTGGATTGATCGTTAATCTACCACATTGATCTTTTGAGTCCTGGTATTAATCCTGCATCAGCATATTGTTTAAACTTGTGCCTGCAAACTTTATACTGTGTAACAATACCCCTAGACCGATCAGTCATAGTACAACGCTTACGAACACGAGTCATGCAACTGTCTTTTGGAAGTGCAGCTAAATCTGCCTTAGCTTTTTGTAATACTTGGACAGGCAGCATATTCGACTTCTTAATCACCCTCAGTCTGAGCCTGTGATCAGCATACTCAGCAACCATTCTCCTCCTCTTCATGTCTCTCCTTCCCCATTTCTTTAGCCACGTGACGTTACCAGCAACACCACTGCAAGAGCGTACAGTATTGTTCCAAGGGCTCTGAGATAATAGTCCACCACAGGAAGGCAAGAGCTTGGCGAAGGACCCACTACAAAATCGAGTAAACAGCTCCATTTTGACCGCCATCTTAATCATTATGGGGGTTAAAAAAAGAAATCAATTCCACCAAAAAAATAATGAAAAGATGATGAAAAAATAAATAATGACGAGTAAAAATGAATTCAAAAGTTTTGATTATTTCCCAGGTTCAAATGGATTCTGTTTATCCATGTCCATAGATGAAAGAGTATGATTGACCTCACAATGATGAGCTTCGTCAGCTCTTATTGCTAGTATCACATCTCTCATCATAGCTCCTTCCTACAATTAAAAATGGAGTACAATTAAATTTGACAAAATATCATAATACTATACAGGTTTTTTTTAAATCACAATAAAAAATCTTTCATTTTTATGATTTTCTTATAAATACATACCATACAAAATGATTTATTGGCGAGGAATTAATATTGGCAATTGGCGGTTTCATGAAGAAATTGCCAATACAAAATCCGTCATTTTGTTACAAACTGAGCATGCTTAATGGCACATGGCACAAAATTGTCAATATAAAATTCGCCAATTTATTTCCAAAGGAAAATTCGCTAAATATTACTCCCACCAATAAATCATCTTGTATGGTACATGTTCTTATGTTGTGTAACAAGTTTGAGCTGATTCGAATCAAAATTGAATTTTTTTACAAATTTTTAAAGTTATTCAAAACTCTCGCCAAAGTCCCTGTATTATAGTAGATAATAGTACAGGGTCTTAGGCTAAATTTGCCAAAAATTAGCAGGAGAGAAATTTTCATTTTTATAATTTTTTCTGATACATATACATGTTCTTTATGTTGTGTAGAATGTTTGAGCTGATCCCAACCAAATCAGATTTTTTATGAACTTTAAAAGTTGTTCTAAAATGATCCAAATGCTATGTACTGTATTGTAGTTCTTGTCTGCTCATGAAGCATAGTGTTTGACTCACTTAGCAAGTTAACACACTTGGTGGGAAACACTGGTTGTATATTATTTAGTGTGCATGTCATAGCAGGATTTTTAAAACTACAGATCACAAAATAAACTCACTGGTAGCTGCCAGTATTTTTGAGAAATTGAAGGAGCAGCTGTTTTAGCCCAAACTTTCAAATCCCCTCTATCAATACACTATAGACAAAGAATCCATTATTCTATTATATTGAACTAACAAGTTACCTCTAAACAATGCGTATAAGTCTTGACAGCTTCTTCTTCCAGATACCCAACAAACCTATGACAAAACTTGGGACTGATAATATAGGCAGCTGAAAACAATGTCACAAATATTCCTATTAAAAAAATACAATATGACTTATGAAATCATTAATTCAAAATACCTTGAGCACCAATGACAGCAAATCTAAAAAGGAAGCCAGGTTTCCTTAATACAAGCGCTGTTAGTAAATGCATCCTTTCATTCTCAGCTTCCTCTGAAAAATTATTGACTCCATCAAAACAGTATTTTAATAAATTTTAGTATAGTATAAGTGGTTTTTTTCGAGGGTTGCAAATTTCTTCCTGATTTGCGAAAATAAAATCCGTGAAAGTTAATTCAATAAAGTACCGCATGGCACACATGGTAGAATTAGCAAAATTACCATCCACAAATTGGAATTTTAGTAGATTTCGTGAAATTATAATTCCCTTAAAAAACCACTTATATGATACCACATTACCTAGTAGCGTATGTATCCAGCCATGATCTCTTTGAAGATATCTCAATGATCTCAAGTGTCTCAGCATGGCAGCAATCATTCCTGGGACGCCTGCCACAGTCTCGAGAAATATTATCCTAGTTAGCCATTTCTTCTCATTAAGTGTCCCACGAAATTTACCAATATAATAACCAGAAAACACATCAAAGAAGAATCTCAGTGTCTGAACAGATGCATATGCTGCCTGTAAAACAAATTAAGATTCAAAAAATAATGAAAACAATGTTTTAGGAATTTTTATACTAAAGTGATTCTTAAACTACATGTAATTACCTTGTCTACAAATAAAGAAGGTTTTACATGAGTGATGGTTACTTCATTGAGTTCACTTTCAGTCCTATACATAAGTAATAGCATTAAACAACGAACCACAACCTGTTTACTATGTGATGATCACTTTCATTGCCAAGTGTGTTATTTATACAACATGCTACACTATAGAGACACAAATGTAGGAGGAAATAGGATATGATGCAAGACTGCAATCATATTAAGTCATAAAAAGCCAGACTCTTCATTATAGTCTAAAGTACAATTAACACTTAATACTCATTATTACAATATCAAAGTACAAATTGTTCATGGATTACTTGCATATTTATACATACCAGATTGGATGGGGGAGGGTATATGGTTTCTCTTGCATCACCATTTTGATATGAGCTGAGAGAGGATGAACTACTGAGCTTCTTTTAAAGTGAGGCGCCTTTTCTTCTGGCTCGTTGCTAGATGCTGAAAAGGCCTATTATAAGAATAAATTAGAAATATTTTATAAGGCCAACAAATAATACCACCAAATAAAAGGAAATATTACCCAGGAAGCAGAAAGGAAGAGTATCGTTACATTAGCACAATACAAAAACAATCACAGAAATAGCAAACAATAAGAAATTGAATGAATAACATGAAGTGTGCCACAACTTGATATAATAATTTATTTAATCAATGCTTTGCCTCTAATAACAAGCATAAGTATTATTGATTGCTATTAATTTTAATTAACTACTGAGTACTCTTAGTTTCATTTTATGGGCTCAATTAATAAAACAAATTGGATACCGTATAGCAGGAAATTTTGGAAGGGCTAAAATTTGGCGAATTGCTAAACTTTGGTGATTGGCGGATTTTTAATTTGGTGAATATATTGCCACATACCATTGAGCATGCATATAATGGCTCAAAATGGCAGATTTGTATTTTGGCAAATGGCTATCAAAATGCCAAATTCGTCAAATTTAATCCCCTCCAAAATTTCCTGCTATACGGTAATCAGTCCCACAACGGACATTAATCACATTATACCAAGCCACATACCCACACCTACATGATTTACATGTACTCCATAACACAATCATTAGCTAATAACATTTTGTCATGGCAGGCTTTCATAAAATTATATAAATTTTCTCCATAAAAATTATGATAATGATTATATAATCACTTACCCTAACTGATCTGTGACATTTCCCTGCACTGATGAATCTCGTATAAATGAAATTCCCTTGCCTTGAGTTGCTTCTCAGCCACACTGACGTAGCCATTTTATCAAGACGGCACAAAGATATTTCAAGTTTCCAAAGAAATGACTTGGATGCTTCGTGACAGTTTTGCTTGTATCTTACTATCTGTGACCCACTACCCGCCTCTTTTTATAACCTGTTTAATAACTTTATTGTGGAATGTATTCATGATGCAAGCATAGGTACGAATTGCACAGACTTAAATTTCCGTTGGAGGGTCAAAAGTGCAAGTTAATAATTATGATTATCAATTATTATTATTATTTTGTTTATAATTAATTTGTGTATGGTTCAATGCGAGTTCAAAGATAAAAGCATTTGTTGAATTCTCTGATCATTGTCCAGTATTGTTGCTTTACTTGCACTGATTAGATCATACTACAAATCAAGATTAAAAATACATTATTAATCGTTTTAAAAAGATAATTTTGTGAAATAACTACATTTAAAGACAGCCCACAAAATTATATTGTTCATTCTCCAATATGCAGTGTTAAATTTAGCACACAGACTCTATATTTATACTTTGTAGCTTCAAATTTTTGTCAGTCAAAATTTTAGTTAAAATTGTTCAAATTAATAATTATTATTTAGATCTATCATCAAAAATTTTTCTACGGTTCACATATTGTAGGTATAAATTTTGCCAAAATTTAAATATCTATGGTCAAACAAACACCATTGACGAAGTTTTTACTGACAAAAATTTGGGGCTACATTTATACAATAGTGTAAGAGGAAGTGCTCTGGAAAGGTTATAAAAATCACTGCTACAAATGAATTCAACTAATGATAAGTGCTGCCTGAAATGCAAAGCATACCTGTTCATCTATCTTTGCACTTAATTCTGCTAGCTGCTCCTTCAAGGGAGTTAGCTCATCTTCTGTAATCCTATCAAGATAAGCATGCTACACATACTTGTGATTAATTTTTAAAATATACTTTTCTTCTCTTCTTAAGGTTTCAGCATATTGAGAGTTTTCCTTCTTCCACATTTCCAACTCTTGTTCCATACTATCAAGGTCTTCCTGTGAAATCAAACAATTACTTTTATTACAACAATTCTCAAGTTCTTACCTGTACATAATCCATAATCTTTCCTAGGGGATTAGCTGTCTGTGATAAACTCTGTATTGAGCTTTGAAGTTTTGAGACCTCCTTCTCTATCAGTTCCCTCTCCCTCTTCCTCTGTGCTTCAGTGATAGTAACACTTCTTGGGCCTCCACCTTTCCCTTCATCTCCTCCAAATCTCTCCTTGGCAGCCATCAGAGTCTTAGTGAGAGCACCTTCTGGCTTGGACTGGGACTCAGACAAAGTTTCAGATGAAGGACCAAGAGGGATTTGATCTTGAACAATAAACTCTTCCTCCTCCTCCTCCTCTTCCTCTTCAGATTTTCCTTTTTGATCAAGTATAAGAGTAGGTACTTTTCTATCTTGCCCAGAGTTACTCCTGAGTTGGAGAGATGCAAAGGATCAATTAATTCAGACAAATGTTATTATATCATACCTAGAACTAGGTTCATCACTATCCATTACTTTCTTAATGACTCTTGGAGCTGGAGGGCGTGAGCTACTGGGACGTGTGGGCATTGGTCTATGTAAAATAAAACCAATACTAATAATAATATATGTAATGGCAATGTACATGCATGTACATACATGTAGCAAGCAAAATATTGGGAAAACTATCAAAAAAATCAAATGTCCTTAGTATGCAGAACATTTTAGGAAATCTGTGACAAATTTTTGTATTGCGGGCATTTCAAATTTTTTCTACTAAAAATGGCATGATGCATCCAATGCCTTATGCTATTGTCTGATAAAATATTTTTGAGCTTTCGATTGCATGTATAATTGTTGGCTACAGACTGACTTCATGATTTTCGTGTGAAAATTGCTGGGAGAATTTTAACGCTTTGGAGTCAATTCTGATCACAAAACCTTTGAGCTATGAGCATTAAACTTTACTTACACTAATCCATTTTGAGTTACGTTAGAAGGAGATGACGAGTTCTGAGGCTCATTGCTTGTATCATCACTAGTTTCAGTCTGACCAGGAGGAGGCTCTCTCTCGTGAGACTTTCTCTGCCCTTTTGCTGTTGATGGTCTGTCATTGACTTGAACTTGACTTCCAGAGCCTTCAGAAGACAATGCCTCCCCATCCTTTTCTCCTCCTCCTCCTCCTCCTTCTTTATTGCTTGCTGCAGCTTGTGAATCTCTTGACTTTCTCCTAGTGCCAGGCTAAGAAAAGATTATACCAAGCTGTCACTATTGATATAAAGAGAGGTAGTCATTACCCTATGCTGAGGTCTTTCTTGGTGAGGTACAGGATCAGGATGAGGCTCTGTTACAGTGTTTGTCTGTATAAAAAGAAATATTAGAATATAGACTGGACTTGAAGTAATACATGTACAGACAAAAAATAATTAAATCTTGTCATCATACTGCACCTCAATTTCATTTTCTTTATCATCCTCAGTTGCTGGTGTTGGTTGTGGTGCCTTGTCTTGTTGTGTTGTGTCACTTGCTTTCTTCTTTTCTGCTTTTTTCTTCACCTCTGTATCTTCTCTGTGTTACGCTCAAAATAAAGTGCAGAGTATCACAGTCTTTAACTAACCTCGCTGCTTTTTTGTCTGATGATGGACTTGACTTTTCTCCACTCAATACTTTTTGAACAGCATCAGTAGAATCAAGCTACATGCAAAGTTAACAATAAAAAGTACCTTTACACTCAGTGAAGAATTTTTAATGATCCAAATTATAAAAAACCAAAAGCAAAAATTGGTTCCAAAATCACCCCAAATTTTTATTAAATTTTACAACACACATTGATGTCCTTATATATGCTGTGTAGAAAGCTATAAGAGCTGTTTCCAACAAATAATTTTCAAGTTATGACCATTTTAAAAACGAGCCAATTATTTTTAGAAAAAAAGCATGCTTGTTAGCTTGAGCTGATTTCAAGAAGGTGAGCACTATGCCAAAATCCTGTAGGAAATCCTGACTTTATACATGCAATGTACATGAAATTTTTATTTATGAATTTACGCATGTAGATATAGTCTCACGTAGCCAGACTCTCCACCCCTTTTTGACATTTGGACATGGGTAATGAGTCTGGCTACACGAGACTAATGTACATGTATGTGCCTAAAAACACTGTTCTTACTCTACATAACTACCGTATAGTAGGAAATTTTGGAGAGACTAAAATTTGGCAAATTGTTAAATTTTGGTAATTGGCGAATTTTAATTTGACAAATTTATGGCCACGTACGTGTACCATTGAGCATGCATATAATGGCTCAAAATGGTGGATTTTTATTTTGACAAATGACTATCAAAAAGATAAAATTCGCCAAGTTTAATTCCCTCCAAAATTTCCCACTATACAGTATGTTATAACATACATGTACATGTATATGTAAATTTACATGTACATAGTGCACAATATATAATATACATGCAATTTTTATTAAATGTACCTTCTTTATAATAGCTGTTGCTATCATTTGTAATAATTCATTAGTTCTTTCAGCTTCTGCTCCAGCTATCATCTTTGATGGACGAGCTTTTGGAACTTTACCAGTAACAAAGCCTACAAGCAAATTAAGAATCATAATTTATTATAACTACGAGCATACTTACTGACTACATCAATTGCTTTTTGAAAGAAGTTTATTTTGTCATCACGACTCTAACAATTAAAAATAAAAAATGATTAGACAGTGTATGTACATGTATGTACATACCCAGTCTCCTTTGCCATCTAATTCTTTCCCAGAGTATAGTCCTTTAAAAAATCCACTTGTTCTAGATATCTACAAAGTGCTAGGCTTTATTTTCAATATTAGGATAAGAGACAAACCTCCATTATCATGTCATGAAGATACCTAAAGGGTGGTTTTGACAAGTGTTTTTCAGTAAGTGGCGGTTTCTTTATTATTTTCCCTAAAGTGTCCTGAGTCTTTTTGATAATCTTTGGATCTATTGTCGGCGCTGCCATTTCCTAACATCCACAGAAGGAGAGATTACTGAGAGGGAGAAGGAGCCCAAGTTTATCTGATGGGACAGTTGCTATGGTGATAATAACCACACCCACAAAAGATGGCGGCTAAACCATTGAATATTATAACACCAAGTGATGATTTACCTCCTCAGAAACTAAAGGAACTGGTATTGACGGAGCTGAAAGCCCCGACTGTATTTAAAGGATTTATTGGAGAGAAATGGGCCGAGGCGTTGACGTGGAGCCCACATGTTATGTCAGAGAAATTGAGTGATGTCCGTACAAGATTTAAAGTGTGTCCAAAAGTTGGTACATTACAACACAGAGAGATACTATCCACTACTGACGTTGTATATGAAACTCACTGTGAGTATGTTGATGCTTGCTTTTCGGATTTTAATAAATGGCTACAAACAGAAATTGAAGACGATGATGAAACTGTATGCCCTCCACCACAAAAGATCATTAAAAGTAATGATAAAAATCCTTTCTCATCAGTACCACGCTCTATTTACTGGGTATATGCAGATTATAAGTACATGAATGAATTATGTTCAGATCATTTGGATATCATTGATGCTGTGGACTGGAGTGTGTTTGGATTTGACACTAGAAATGGATTATCTTCTACACTTTGGATTGGAAGTGAAGGAGCCTCAACCCCTTGTCATTATGACACTTATGGATGCAATTTAGTAGCGCAGCTATGGGGCACTAAAGAATGGATATTGTTCTCTCCCAATGATGATCATAAATTATATCCAACTCGTGTTCCTTTTGAAGAATCAAGTGTGTTCAGTCGTGTTAACATAAAATCACCTCAAATCAATAAGTATTGTGATTTTCTCAAAGCAACACCATATAAGGTAAGGTATTACACATTAATAATAATTCCTAATTTTATTGCTTGATATAGGTAGTCCTTTCTCCTGGTGATGTTCTGTTTGTACCTCATCATTGGTGGCATTATGTTGAATGTCTAGAGCCTTCTCTATCAATCAACACGTGGATAGAGCTTGTATGAACAAGAAAGCAAGAAATGTCCCTAATTATTGTCAATTATCTTATAGGCTAGTGATAAAGAAGACAGGATCACAGAAGCTATAGCAAGACTACTGGTTAGTACATATAGTAATGTCTCTTAATTACAATCAAATTTAGGTGTCTAATGTTGTCACTACAGACAATAAAGATTCATTAGTCAATCCAAATGAGGTATTTTTTGTAAATGATTTATTTAATTTATACTCCCTAAAATCACTTTGTCACTTGCAGGTACTTTTTCCACTGGAAGATAATTTGACTTTATTGAACACAATACTAACAGATGGCAATGATGAACAGATTATTACAATATCAGATTTTATCAATATACTAACTAGTAAAGAAGTGTTGAGAGTAGTAAAGGATAAAGTCAATGCTTTTAATGTTTCTTAAATACTATAGGCTTAAAGACTAGATATACATGTACATGTAATTATAATGATAAGATTTATTGTCAAGACAGGCCAGTCATTAGCAGAAAGAGCTGATACTTTTATTAACTGTATAATGTCAGTAGTTGATGTGTCAGTGTCCTGATCAGTTTGAGGTGTTTCTAAATATTGTAATGAACAAGGGAAACATTGCTTTTGTGAGGACAGCTGAACTAATCTCTCAGTGTTGTAAGTTTATTATATTAAAGCATTATATAATTAGAGTACCGGTATCTTGTATAGTTAATAGAAAAGTACCTGAACAGTGTTGTACAAGCAATGAGAAGCAAATTAGACTATATTTGATAATTATTTTTACATGTTTCTTTTTTTTAATTTCTTTAACTTATTTCACAATAATATCTCTGTACTGCAATGGATGTGATCGGATTTATTATACTAGCGGGTGTGGTTATAGATCATGTGATCTGAATATGCCTTGTCCCAATAACTGGTTGGACTGTTAGTCCAGATATAGTACCATGTCAGGTACATGTATAATAGTAATAAAATGTCAATTTTCAATTATGTTACAACTTACAACCCTGTACATAGTTCAGAGTTTTTGGAGCAACTTAAAAAAAAATTCATAAAAAATCTCAAAAATTTCTGTGTATCAAAAATTAAAAATACATGTGTATAAAAAGACATATAAAATGCTTTTATTTGGTTTATTTCTTATATTTGTCCATTAGTGTATCAGCTAGTGCAATAGTTCTCAAAGTGTCTTCTTCTCTCAGTATATCTATGAATATACCAAACACTTTTCCATTCATACGAATAGAACTCAAAATGATGTGAAGTAATTCATCCATTTTGTCATTGTCAGTTTCTCTAGCAGTTATTTTCCTTTTCTCTCTTGAATTTACAATTTTGTGTTCCAGCAACTTGTCAACTAAGAAGTTGATATCAATCCCACAGTCCTTTATTGATGAAGTACATTCTGTCATTACTCTATGAGCAATATCAGATCTATATGTACTACCTATATATGCACACACATGCATTTAAATTCAGTGATTATAGTGTACTAATACCTTTTTCAGTCTCTCTCCTGGTGTGACAAGTACTAGCAGCAGAGATAGTAGGGCTAATTACTATAAATAATAATAATGTTAGACTGTATTTAGTTTTTAGTAGTATCAACTAACTGTTTAAAGTATGAGGAGAAAGGGGTGATCTACTGATGTAAGCAGGATCTATTTAGATGATGATAAAAATAATAGATATTGAACATTATGCAATACTATATACCTA